TGAGCCGAAGGCAGTCGCTTAACCAACTGAGCCACCCAGGCGCCCAGAAAGGGGTTATTTTTTATACAGGACATAAGACTGTCCTACAGAACCTAAGAGCAGGAACAGAGACAGGTCTTGAAAAAGACTAGAATCAAGAACAGAAAGCTTCAGGACTTTTTGACTCATCTCAGCCACTCAGTGTCATTCTCTCTCTTGATTTGTTTATTCATTCATCTATTTATTTATTCAACATATGTTTATTAGAAGCCTTCTATGTTTCAGGAGCTGTTTGAGCACTGGGAAATAGAGGTAAACAAAATTAACCAATTTTCTGCCTTCAAAGTTGTCCAATTTTAGTGAGAGAAGACAGACAGTAAACAAATATAAATAAAAGAAGTTTTGAGTATGGTAAGTGTTACAAGGGAAATAAACAGGGCAACATGACAGAGCATAACTTAGGAAGTGCTCACTTTAGTTATGAAGGTCAAAGAAAGTTCTCTTGGCAAATGGAAAGATGCCGAGAGACTGAAGGATGAGATGGAAACTGCCGTGTAAAGAGCAAGGGAAAGAGCATTCCTGTAAAGGATGAAGGCTTTAGGGCAAGCAGCTTGATGGTTGGGGGAGCAAAGAGGAGGCCGGTGTCCAAGAGTGTTGTTTGCTGGAGGAGGAGATGTTCAAGGTATGGATCTGAGAAATAGGAAAGTCAGATCATGGAGGACTTTGTCAATCATGGTAAGGAATTTAGATTTGATTTGATTTGATTATTTATTTATTGAGAAAGCATATGAGCAGGGGGAGGGGCAGAGGGAGAGAGAATCTTAAGCAGGCTCCATGCCCAGCACGGAGCCTAACATGGAGCTCCATCTCATGACACTGAGATCATGACCTGAGCCAAAATCAAGAGTCAGATGCTTCACTGACTGAGCCACACAGGCACCCCAGATTTTGTTTTAAATGTAAAGGAAAGCCATTAGGGAATTTTGGACAGGAAATGCTATGACCTGGGTTGTCTCACAAAGATCATTCTGGATGTTTCAGGGAGCATTGATGGGGGTGGGGGAGGAAATGGGGAGAGCATTAGAAAAACATGGTATTCGAGGACATAATTGAATTATAGTGGTAGCTGTGGAGACAGAGTGATATACTTTTTAGGAGATACCTAGATGACAAAAGGGAGGAATCAAGGCTTTAGGAATTAGTAGGATGGTAATGCCACTTATGGGAATGAAGACTGGGAAATTAGGTTTGAGAGAGAAATCAAAATTCCCGTGTGAGACAAATGAGTTTGAGATAGAAACTCATGCAAGTGGAAATGTTTAAAAGACAGGAAGATGTACAAATCTTTTTTTTTTTTTTAAAGATTTTAGTTATTTATTTGAGAGAGAGAGAATGAGAGAGAGCACATGAGAGTGGGGAGGG